TTATTTATTTATTTGACAGAGAGAGATCACAAGTAGACGGAGAGGCAGGCAGAGAGAGAGAGAGGGAAGCAGGCTCCCTGCTGAGCAGAGAGCCTGATGCGGGACTCGATCCCAGGACCCTGAGATCATGACCCGAGCCGAAGGCAGCGGCTTAACCCACTGAGCCACCCAGGCGCCCCCCAACTTTGTTTCTTTAAACAATCATGTTATCACTTATATTTACTTATGAATTCTTTTATTGTCGTTTAGGTTATGTAAATAACCAAAAAATTGTTTCACAGTGGACTGGGATCCTATTTAGCCAAGCATTCACACCTTTCGATATTTTTGACAACTCTGTCTTCCCCAAAACAAATCCTAAATGAAATTCTTTTCTTTTCTTTCTTTCTTTCTTTCTTTTTTTTTAAGATTTTATTTATTTGACAGAGATCACAAGCAGGCAGAAAGGCAGGCGGGGGGGCGGGGGGGAGCAGGCTCCCCGCTGAGCAGAGAGCCCGATGTGGGGCTCCCGATGTGGGGCTCGATCCCAGGACCCTGGGATCATGACCTGAGCTGAAGGCAGAGGCTTAACCCACTGAGCCACCCAAGCGCTCCATGAATTTATTTTCTTGACTTCAAACTGGCTTTGGGATTTCCCAGAGGGCCTCTAGAAGATCTCAAAGGGTTTGTTCTTTCACCTCATAAAAGAGAAGAGTTCAACTAAGTAGTTTTAATGTTTTATTTTTTTTTTTAAGATTTTTAAAAATTTATTTGAGAGGGAGAGCTCAAGCAGGGGACTGGCAGAGGGAGAGAGAGAAACAGGCTCCCTGTAAAGTCGAGAGCCTGATGCAGGGCTTGATCCCAGGACCCCAGGACCCCAGGATCATGACCCGAGCTGAAGGCAGACACTTAAACCAACTAAGCCACTCAGGCGCCCCTAAAACTAAGTAGTTTTACTAACAAGTTGGATTTCATGAAAGTCATTGTCAAATTAAGACATGCTGCTTAACCTTCCAAGAGTTTTATTTGTGAGTAGATGTTATTTGATATCAGGATGTCAGAATTTACATAAAGTTCCTATACATTTGTGAGAGCCCTCAGTGACTGTGAAATATTCTGGTATAATGTTATCATCACCATTCCAGTTAATACTTTAAATGGCGTGTATGCTATAGAAACAACCAAGTTTCCTTGTCAGTTGTGTTATTTTTATAAGGGACTCCCAGCAAATTTTTAACCCCAGGTCATTTTAAGTCTTTGTCACCCACAGATAGTTTCTGTTTGGAGAAACTCTTCTCCAAAAGCATTTGCAATCAGCTATAGGCCAGAGTGCTTCATCTTCAACAGAAAGAGACTGTCTCCAAGACCCATGGAAAGGACTATGACAGGTCCCTGGGGTACAGACTTCTGGTGGCCTTGCCTCTGAGATCATCCCATGGGACTGAGTAAGGAGCTCCAGAACTCTAGTGCAGAAACCAATGGGTTTGTGAAACTAGGCAAGAATCAACTAAATGGAACTGGATGAACTAATAAAAGATGATTTTAAGTTTATATGGCTTTCGTCTGGAATATTCTTGGCTCATTAGTGTTCTATTTTCCGGATATTAAAAAAAAAAAAACCTTTCTTTTTTCTATTAAGCTATCTCTGAATCATCCCACTCTAGCAAGTTATATTTTTGTAAACAAAATTGAAGCATTTATCTTCTCCCTGCTTGATTCCTCCAAAAATTGGAATCTATTGTTGAGTATTCTTATTTTTGTGGCAATATAGTTATCTGCATAGGTTCAATAAAAATCTGTCCTCTTTGCGATAGGACATAATTTTAAAAAGCTGGTTATATAACCAGGAAACGTCATGTTTGAAAATGATGCATGGTATCAGATGACCAGAAGGTTTTGAGGAGCTGCAGTCAATTTTACAAGGAGCAATGCTCACAAAGCCCTCTAGAAAAAACCAGCCTGGTATTTGGCTTAGAGATTCACAGCCTTACAAGTGAGTAAGGAAGGTCACTTCCTGGCAGGCCCAGGAACCCTAAGATATTTGGGAGAGCTTGAGAAGAGAGGAATTCACCCAAATCTATAGGTGAAGTCTGATGGCAAGTTCTTGCTTTGGCTTCCTAGCCTTAACAGGCTTTTAAAATTCCAATCTGAGATTCCCCATGAAAAGTTCCACAAAGCAAACTTAACAAGGCCTATGAGGTCAATTGCCTTTTTTGTTGTACTTATGTAAAAAATCAGGCTACATTTAATGAGACCAGAATTATTTTGTAAAACAAGAATAACCTTCCTTTGAATATATTTAAAAAAAAAAAGAATTACTTATTTATTTGAGAGAGAGAGTGTGTGTGCGGGAACACCTGAGTGGGGGTTGGAGACAGAGGAAGTTGGGGGAGAGAGAGAGAAGCAGACTACCCGCTAAGTATGGAGCCCAGTCAACCCGGAGATCACAACGTGGGACGAAATCAAGAGTCAGACGCTTAACTGAACCACTAGGCACCCCTTCCTTTGATTATCTTTGATCAAAAAGGAAGATGGCTCTAAGGGAAATGTTGTCTCAATGGGGAAAAATAATACACCCTTCTGGGTTATCAGATTTTAATCCTGTTTATTGTGTTTGAGGTTACTGGGACTGCCATCCTCCCATATTACACATTTTGTCAGCCCTCACCAAACCCTCAGGTCCTCTAGTTTCCTTCAGTATCTGGCTACAACTCTCCAAGTCGATGTTTCCAATTTTTCCTCCTTCCCTCCTGACTTGGCATCACTAAGAACTAAAACCTGACTACGCAGACCCTTCCTGGGACACTGGTTATCTTGCTGTCACCCCTTTTCCTCCAGGATCTGAAAAGCCCCTCATGCTGAAGCATGCAGACAGCTTGACATGACCCTCAAAGAGCTCATCACTGCAACAAATGGTGTGTGTCCGCCTTCATTCCTAGAGCTGCGGCTGCATGGGCCCTTCCCAGTCCATGGGAACTCCCATATCTCCCATGTTCTGCTCTGTCAATAACCTTGACTGTGACACTGATGTCTATACTGTCACCACAAACACTCAAACTACAAACTGGGAAATTCACTGAATTGGTTCTCACCCATAATCTAGAAATGTTTACACATCAATGTCTAAACTTGTCCCAACTGGCCACCTGTAGGGCTCAAAAACCAGGTTTACATTCAGCTCTGACCATTCATCTTTGCTTTTCTTTCTGTTTCCACAGAAATGTCCCTCATTAAAGCCTGATCACTGGAATCATCCTGCAAATATCCTCTACTACTAAGCCCCAACAGTTGGTTCCACAAAAGGTGATCAAACAGAAAACAGGTTTCTATTAGTCAGCAGACAGAACATCTCCTTTCCTTCAACAGAGGGGGACCTGCAGCAGACTCTCTCCTTGACCAAACTCTATCCAAGCTCCTCTGAGTCTTCAGAATTCTCAATTAGGTCTCAACCTTGGCCTATGAAAACTTCAACAAACACTAAACAGTGTCTAACAGCTCAAGGCTGCATCCTTGGGATGACCTTGGCCTCCTTAAGGTGCGTGACAGAGAACTCAAGGGTTCCAAAAGAAAGGACTGTTTCAGCTAACACCTGAGGATAGGGCTCCATCTCCCAGCTTCAGGCAAAGCAGAGAAGCCTAACTCCCATAAGCAACACTTAGCATTTCCAAACTGGGGGGGGGGGGGGGGTTTTACAATGACAAACTGCTTTTTCCCACTTTCGTAATTTCTCACTTTCCTGACTCACTCAGGTCTGTCATTCCCATCCCCCCACACACTCACTTTTCCTTTAAAAGTGCCTCTGAACAAATCTGAAAGGAGCCCAGCTCTTTCCCCTACTATCCTTAGCTACTGAATAAAATCTGTCCTTACTGTGGTAACTACCATCCAGCCGTGTTCATCTACGGCAACCCTCTCCCCACGAGGTTTGGCACTGCTCCACAGAGCGCTTCTGGGAGTTGGGAGGCAGCAGGCAGTCTGGAAAGTTAGCCCCAGGCAATAGGTCAAGAAAAGTCCCTGACTCTTATAATCTGAAAGGCTGTTATGTCAGGTCCCTTCTGGGGCGACTTCCTCTTTCTCAATCTTTCTCACTTGAGGTTGAGGCCACACCAGCCAGACCCAGTCCTGTGGGGTGCTGCTCTGGTCGCTTCCTTCCTGGGGTGTCAGCCATTCCTCTGAAAGGAGAAGCCTGAAGGTACCACAAGTTTTCCCCTGGAAAGATCACTGAGCCCCTCAGGGCCTGGATGCCCACAGTGACCCCTGCTCAAAGACCAAGTGTGACCCTTCCTTGGTGAGTCAGGCTCTGACCCCGAAAGTCCATGGCGTCAAAGCCCTCCCCAGGAGACAGCCCCCACCTTAGTGTATGGATCCCCACAGGAGGCTGGATCCCCTATCTTTGTCTGGAACCCCATCCCCAAGTCGGATCTTCACACTCCAATACAGATCTTCCACTCCCTCAACCCAGTCTGGTATCCCAGCCCCTTCTTTTCTGTCCAGAGACTCCCACCCAAGGTCGGATCCTTTCACACGGGTTCTAATTTGCCACCCGGCTTCCGGAGCTCCTAGGACAGATTCCCAGGTCCCCCACCCCGGATCAGATCCGCCCCAGGTCCGGAGACCCCCCACCCTGGATCAGATCCACCGCAGGTCCCGAGATCCGCATCCCGGATCAGATCCGCCCCAGGTCGGGAGACCCGCACCCCGGATCAGATCTGCCGCAGGTCCCGAGACCCGCACCCCGGATCAGATCCGCCCCAGGTCGGGAGACCCGCACCCCGGATCAGATCCGCCCCAAGTCGGGAAACCCGCACCTCGGATCAGATCCACCGCAGGTCCCGAGACCCGCACCCATGATCAGATCCTCCCCCGGTCCGGAGACCCCACCCTAGGCCGGATCCCCGCGGCCCGCCGGCGCTCTCACCTAGCCCTCCGCCCCGGCGTCCTTAGTCTGCAGGACCCGCCCCGAGCCGGCGCGCAGGCAGCGCGGCGGACAGCCCCGAGCGCCTAGGAGGCCCCGCGCGGCGATGGCTGCGATGGCGGCTGCGATGGCGGCTGCGCTGCCGGGAGCGGGCGGGCGCTTCCGGTGGCGGATTGGGGCTGCTGCGGCGGCGGCGGCGGCGGCGGGCGGGGTGCGGGGCGCGGCACGGAGGGCAGCAGGTAGGGCGGGGCGGGGAGGGGGCTCTCTGCGCGGACTGGGCAGGGGGTACCCGCCAGAGGTTGTCCACGTGGGGGTGTCCCCGCGAGCCCCAGTTAGCTGGGACAGCAGTCTGCCGGCTTCCACCCACCCCAACCCCCTTTCCAGCTGGGGAAACAGTGGGGGGACCCCGCCGGAGGTTCTGCTGGGTAAAATGATCTGTGCTCGCTTCCCCACCCCCCAGCCCAATATTAACTATAGTCCTGTTGATGGTGGCGGCGGCTCCCCTCCTGAGGTAACCAGAGGCCATCACCCACAGACCCCACTAGTCAGACCTGGCCGCCTCCTTTCCGGAGACCCTAGTGGCCACACACAGCAGGTGCTCAGTCCGTGCACTGCATGGAGTCTTCAAGGGGACAGGGACGCTTGCAAACTGGTGGGCAGCAAGCACTGGCTGTCTGCAGTGCTTTGCGGGTGCCCTGGGGTGGGGGACAGTACCTGGCTTGTCCTCCTGGAGCCACCAAGGATCACCAATCAAACCAGGATCATTTATCAGAGCACCAGTCTCAGGGGGCGGTGCCAGGCTCCAGAGCAGGGACTGACCGGATGCGGGGTCACCTGCCTAGCCCAGCAGACGGGATCCCCAGTGCCAGTCACAGGGCCACCACTTGCCATGGTGAAATGGCCAGCCCCACATGTAGTGATGTGCTCCCCACCACATGCCTGCTTGGTGACTGGCCCCCAGACCTTGCCCCTGGATGACTCCCCGTGGGGCACGAGTGTTGAGGGGCCTGAGCAAAGAAGGGATGAGGCCTCCTTCACCGAGATGGTGGCTGTGACAGGGAAAGTGGCAGGGTGCTTGGCCAGCTGTGGAATGGTGCTGACAGTGGATATGGAAAGGCAAAACTGCTGCTGTGGCCTTGGGGAGCTTTGGGTCTGTGGAGTCCTAGGAAAAGGGGAGATAGTGCTGCCCTTAGGATGGCTTTGCTGGCCCTTGAGACCTTGGCCAAGGCCCCCAGTCTTTGAAAGCATCCTTGGTGCGTGGGTCATGATAGCAGCTATGCGGTGAGGCCCTCACCCCATTGGATGCAAGTAATAGATGCTGCTGCTGCCCTTCCAAGTCCAAGGTCTTTCAGTCCACTGTAACCGTGGCCTTGTGGCAGAGCGGGATGGCCGTGGGGTCGAGCTTTTTTGTTTCCAGCTGGCCAGCCCCAGAGATTCTTTACCCATGGTCTTTAGGCAGCAAGGGGAAGGAAGCCCCAAGGCTAGCGCTTACTTAGCTGCAGTGGTGAGGGGCGGACAGGGCCTGGGCACAGTGCCAACCCCCAACAAGCATACACAAGGTCCGATTCTGAGCCCAGCTTTCCATCTGAGAGCAGGGAGGCACATGCGCCATCCCAGGCTTGGGGGTGTGGCCCATGTCACTCCAGAACAGGAACCAGAATGACACTATCACTGGTGTCATCTGTCCCCTAACACCTGCTACCAGGAAAGAATGTGCGGTGGGGAGGACAGCACAGGAGGACTCCCAAGGTGGCTCCCCGAGGTGGTCAGCATGCTTGTGGACACACAGCAAAGCCTCTGCTGGTGCTCCCAGAGTGTTGCACCATTCACTTGGCCTTGCCATGCTTGCAGGGAGCAGAAAAGTCAAGAACGATGGGCTCAGAGCAAAAAGAAGACAGGCCTTTCTGGGACTGAGCCTGGAACGTGCAGTGGGGAAGGTGAGGCTGGAAGGCTGCCCCAGGCACTGGAGTGGTATGTCCCCAGGTAGTCCCCTCAGAGCAGCACCTGCCTCATCCGCCTTTCCTGTCCTTAAGGCAGAGTCCTCGTCCAAGTGTTTATCCGACTGGCAGAGCTCCAGGGTATGGGCAGCAGTTGGGCAGGGCAAACCCACGAAGATAAGCTCGGTGGCTTGCTCTGCCCTCTGCCTCATAGTAGGCAGAGGGGACAGTGTGGAGCTGGGGACAGTTGGAGCTAGCCAGGACTTGCTCTGTCAGCAGGAAGGACCAGCATCAGCACCTGCAATGGAAGGTAGGGGTATTGTCCTGGGCAAAAGCGTCACGTCCCCCACCTCCCCCAGCCCGGAGCAGCCAGCAGTGAGTGCTCCCTGGGGGAACCTGCAGCTGTTTCTCTTCAACCGGCAGTCTGTCTTCGGTTCTTTGGGCTCATATCAAAGCCACCAGAATAACTGACAAAAACTGAGGCCTCTTCAGACCCCCCTGGGTTGAATCTGGAATTGATTCTCCTTCAGACTGGCTGTTTGAACCAAGCTGTGGCTCCGTTTGGTCCCATGTTTCCCTGTGTACACATTTCAGGTGCCCTCAGATGGGGTGGGTACAAAGCCGGGGGTGGGCCTGGTGGCAACAGGCCACCAGCTGAGCATCGGGACACAGCTCCTTTGGCCAGCTCCCCTAGCTTCGTCAGCTGCAAGCCAGGGCCACCTCTAGGCTGGAGCTCCTATGTCCTTGCAGGAGCTCAAGTCCTGGACCTGTCTGTGAGTGCAGGGACCTACAAAACCGAGGTCCCTGAGGAATGCAGGACCTCAGGAATATTCTCTACAGCCTTGCCCACCAGGAAGGTCAAGGTGGCCCCAAAGGAAGATACAGTCTTTTCATTCCTGAGGCCCTAGTCCAGCTGCTCTGGCCTTGGGTGGCAGAGCCTGATTTGATCCCAGGACCTGGGTGCTTGGCCCAGGAGCAATGGTCAGCTCTAGACACAACGCAGCAGTTGGCACCCTTGTCTCCCTCCCCACATACTGATGATTTTCTATGATTTCTTCCTTTCCCTACCGGGAGTGGACCGGTGCTTGGTGCTGGGTATCTCAGGCGTGGGCTCTGACTGACAGGCCACACCTAAGGACACACCTGCTCCTCTCCTACCTGCCCCCCCCACTCCCTTCCTCACCCCCTCCTCCTTTCTGGCTGTCCCTTGCCTGCCTTCCCTGCCAGCGGTTTGCCGAAGAAAGACAGCGAATGTCTTCTGCAGGGCAGCAAAAATGTGAGCCAGCCTTTGTGCTGGGTGTGGGAGTGCATTGCCTCCGAGTTGACATCATGGGGACCCCAAAAGGCATTTCGGAGTCCCTTCTATCCCAGGGCTCACAGTGCGCCAGGCACTCTGAGAGGCCAGGGTGTGCTGCCCAATGCAGGGACTGCTTTTCATTTTTCCTCATGTAGAACAAAAGGTGACTGTTGGAACTGAAAGACAGACTCAAGGAAAGTGTTTTAACTCACGTCTGGCTTAGAATATTCAGCGAATTTTGAGTTCAGAGCCATTTTGCCACTTAAATTACCTTCTTCTTGGCCTGATTGTTGCTGCAAAGGTGGTGATGCTCCCTGGGCCATCCTCACCTGCCGTTGCTTAGTTTCAGGATTCGCGCCGGTGATGGATACCGAGGTTGCCTTCTGCCTAGATGTGGGATGCACTGTCACCCCAGACCGCCATGGGCTGCGGGCTTTGCTCCAATAACACGGATCCCATACCACATTTAACCGGGCAGAGCTGCTTACCCTTTGGAAATCACGCGGCACCTTGTGGGATCCATGCCCCAGACTTGTCCTGGCCCTTCCTCTCACCTCTCCCCCTTTCCTCAGCAGGCCGGCAGAACTATGATCTCCTGGTGATTGGCGGGGGATCTGGCGGCCTGGCCTGTGCCAAGGAAGGTATGTGTCCTGTGCCCTGCATTTTGCCAGCGTGGCAGGGCCTCCAAGTTTTCAGGGCCCCCCTACCCCCCAAGAGGGCTGCATTGTTCTCGAAGCTGGGTGGAGATGCACCCTGATTGGCTTTGTAGAGGGCATTATCTCTGTAACTGGGGTCCTACATCCTGCCAGAGTCACCCCAGGAGCCTTGTCAGTCCCTCCTCCCTGCCATTCCACAGTCTGTGCAGTACCCAGTAGGCAGGAGGGTAGCCCAGGTCTTAGCCAGCTCTCCTGGGCTCCAGTCCCGGGCCATGTGGGATCTGTCCCCACCCATCCGACATGTCTCCCACCGCCCACACCTTGCTCCCTTGTGCCGCTCCAGTTCCTTGGCACCTCGGTGTTTTGCAGATGATTCCCGAAGGTCTTTCTGGCCTTGCTCCATGCCCTGGCTGTCTGCCCAGCCTGGTCTTCTTCTCTTTGCCTGCCTGGTTAGCTCCAGGGTTCCACTCACCTTCCTTCAGCCTTTGCTGCTGAGACGGCCCTACTTAGAATGACAGCCTCACCATCTGGTCCCCGTCCCCAGCTCCACTGTCCTCATTCTTGGCCCCCGGCATGTCCCACAGAGATCCCGGTTTGTCCTGCTGTTTGTGTCTTACTCTCTCTCCTCAACCAGGCACTCAGATGGGCCTGGGCACCCTGGGGTGCTCAATGAAGATGGGTTGAATGAAAGGGCTGGCCCCAGAGGCGTCCAGAGACCGTATGTTGCAGTTTGCCACTAATCTGGGTGGGGAACAGACCCAGCATTTCACTGTGGGGCTCTGCACTCTGCTGGAGGAGCGCCTGGCTTTCTGCTTGCCTGTCTAAATGATAAGGAGACAGATGTGGGTAAGGGAGGGGGGAAGCCAGGGGAGAAACAGGGCTGCAACAAGAGGGAGTTGAGCAGGTACCCTGACCATGAAAGGACAGCCCTCTGACGTTTCCCTTCTTTCTTTCTCTCCTTCCTTTCTTTTTTAAAAGATTTTATTTATTAATTTGACAGATCACAAGTAGGCAGAGGGGCAGGCAGAGGGTGGGGGGGAAGCAGGCTCCCCACTGAGCAGGGAGCCTGATGCGGGGCTTGATCCCAGGACCCTGAGATCATGACCTGAGCCGAAGGCAGAGGCTTAACCCACTGAGCCACCCAGGCACCCCATTTATTTATTTTTGTTAAAGATTGTATTTATTTATTTGACACAGAGAGACACAGCGAGAGAGGGAACACAAGCAGGGGGAGTGGGAGAGGGAGAAGCAGGATTTCCTCTGAGTTGGGAGCCCTACGTGGGGCTCGATCCCAGGACCCTACGATCATGACCTGAGCCGAAGGCAATGCTTAAATGAGCCACCCGGGCACCCCAGATCCTGGGTTTTTAGAATGCCAGTCGGCATAAAGGAAATTTGCTGTGCACTACTGTTCTCCAAGGGACAAAGGAGAGTGCTGGCCTGTGGCAGAGGGGAGGAACCTGGGAAGTCTCCCAGCTGGTATGGGAGCCCACAGAGGGACACGAGTCCTCATCCCATTGGACCACAGAGCCACCGCAAGAAACAGTGTATAGACAGCCAGTTGTCCCAGCGATGTCCCTTACAGCAGAAGAAAGCCCTGGATGTTGTGTCCACACCAGTGTCTTATCTGCAGAGGCCCATCTCCGTTCACCTGCCACGGTTCCCAGGTCTGTCTTTGCCTTTTGGAACAGCGGCATTCTCCTTGTGGATTATCGCCCTTTTCTACAGCATTATTGAGCTATAATTGACGTAAAACAAACCAGACATGTTTAAAGCGGACGACTTGCTATATGCTTTGACATAGGCACACACCTGTGGAACCAAGCACCACAGTCACACTGGCAAATGTAGCCATCACCCCCATATGCACTTGCTGGGGCAGCTCTGGAGGCTGGAAGTCTGAGATGAAAGTGCCGGCAGGATTGTTTCTTCTGAGTCCTCCGTCCTTGGCTTGCAGATGGCCATCATTTCCAGGGTCCTCACATGGTCTTTCATCGGCATGTCTATGCCCCGATCTCTCTTTATGCTCCCCCCCGTCAGATTGGAATAGGGCCCGCCTATATGGTCACATTCTAATTTAATCACCTCTATCAAGACCCTGTCTGCAAATAGGGTCACATTCTGAGGTTCTGGGGAAGAATTTGGAGGGGACATGACTCAGCTCCTGACAAACCCCAAAGTTTCCTCAAACCTTGGGAACCCCTTCCTGCTCCCCAGTCCCTGTTGCATCCCCAGACAGCCAGTAATCTGCTTTCTCTCACTGCAGTTTAGTTTGCATTTTCTAAAATTTTGCATAAATGAAACTGTGTCATATGTATTCTTTGGCTTTTTTCACGCAGCCTAACTTTTTGAGATTCATCGGTGATGCTCTGTGTGTCCGGGGCTCATTCCCTTCTATCACTGATCAGCATTCTGTCGTACAAATACACCATGTTTTGTCTGTTCACGTACATTGGCAGGAGGACGTTTGGGTTGTTGGCACTTTGGGGCTACTGTGAACGGTGCTGCTGTGAACATTTGTGGTTGTGTGTTTGTGTGGATGCGTGTTTTCAGTTCTCTTGGATAAATGCCTAGAAGTAGAGCTGCTAGGTTGTGTAGTATATTTCTTCTTTAGGTATTTTTTTCATTTATTTCCACAACCTTTTGTAGTTTTCAACTTAAAGCTTTTGTCAGATTTGTCTCTAAGTGTTTCATATGTTTCCAAATAGCTTTTTTTTTAAAAAAAGATTTTATTTATTTATTGGACAGAGAGACACAGTGAGAGAGGGAGCACAAGCAGGGGGAGTGGGAGAGGGAGAAGCAGGCTCCTGTCGAGCAGGGAGCCCGATGCAGGGCTCCATCCCAGGATCCTGGAATCATGACCTGAGCCGAAGGCAGACGCCTAGCAACTGAGCCACCCAGGTGCCCCTCTAATAGCGTTTTTTGAGATTAAGTCACATACCATACTATACATTCATGTAACGTGCATAATTCAGTCATTTTTAGTATATTCACAGAGTTGTAAAACCATCATACCAGTTGTAGAAATTCTTATCACTCCCCAAAACTACTCTGTACCCCGTAGCAGCCACTCCTCAGCCCCTCTACCCCTCAGCCCCAGTCAACTACTAATCTGATTTATTTTTCTATGGATTTGCCTATTCTGGACATTTCATACAAATATGTGGTCTTAGCATGCTGTTTTTAGCGTTCGTCCACAACAGAGTGTATGCTGGCACTTTTCTTTTTAATGGCTGTATATCATTCCATTGCATGGACATATCACATTTTATTATCCACTTGGCCATTGATGGACATTTGGTTGTTTTCACTTTTGGGAATTTTATTTTCCCACCAGCACTGTCGGAGGATTCGAATTGGCCCCTATCTCACGCTCCCCCACTGGAGCCAGCCAGGTGCCCCAGCTTTGCCCATTTTGAAATTGGGTTATTTGTGTTTTCATGACTGCTCCATGAGTTCATATACATATGTTCCATATTCTTACATAAACATAGTCTGGATACTAGACCCTTCTCAGACATGTGATTTGCAAATACTTTCTAACATTCCTGCGATTATCTTTTTACTTTCTTGATGGTGTTCTTTGCAGCACAAGCGTTTTTGATTTTGATGAAGGTCCAGTTTACCTATTGTCTTTTTGCCATGTTTTTGGTATCTGAGAAGCAGTTGTCTAATACAAGCTCACAAAGATGTATGCCTGTGTCTCCTCCTAAGACTTTTCCAGTTTCAGCCCTGACACTTGGGCCTCTAGTCCATCTCAGGTTCTCGTAACAAATACGGTGCTAGGTAGTTGCCTGGGGGGTTTGCTGAAGACATCTTGAACTCTTCACGGTCTACCTGCAAGTGATATGATCCAATGCACATATAGTACAAGAACCTTGTGATGGTAGCGTGTTTGCACATCTCCCTTCCCAGCCTTTATCCCATGTGGCCATACATTTTACTTTGACATGTTATGAGGTCCGTAACCCATTGTTACATTTTGTCTAAACAGTTACCTTCCAGAAAGATTAAACTAATGAGAAGTCACCATTTCTGGTGCCCTTTCCTTTGTATAGATCTGAGTTGCCGTCTGGCATGATTTTTCTTCTACCCTGAGGATGTCCATGAACATTTCTTGTATGACGGCTCTGAGAATAATGGATTCTTTCAGCTTTTGTATGTCTGAGGACATCTTTATCTTGCCTTTATTTATTTATTTTTAAAGATTTTATTGATTTATTTGACAGACAGAGATCACAAGTAAGTAGAGAGGCAGGCAGGTGTTGGGGGGGAGCAGGCTCCCCGCTGAGCAGAGAGCCCCATGCGGGGCTCGATCCCAAGCTTCCGAGATCATGACTTGAGCTGAAGGCAGAGGCTTTAACCCACTGAGCCATCCAGGTGCCCCTGCCTTTATTTTTTAAAGGTATTTTCTTGGTGAGGCAGGTGTGTGGGCAGCTCCTGGGTGGCTCAGTCGGTTAAGCATCCAACTCTTGATTTCAGCTCAGGTCATGATCTCAGGGCACTGCGTGGGACTGTGCACTAAGTACGGCCTCTGCTTGGGATTCTCTCTTTCCCTCTGCCCCTCCCCCTGCTCAAGCATGTCTCTCTCTCTCTCTCTCTCTCTCTCTCTCAAATAAATAAATAAAATCTTTTAAAAATACATATTTTCTCTAGGTGGAGAATTCAAGGTAGACAGTTTTTCTTAGTTTCTTTTAGTACTTTAGAGATGTTGCTGTCCTGGCTTCTCACTACGTTGTTTCCGGTGTCATCTGCCGTCCTTTTTATCTCTGTTCCTTTGTCATGTGTCTCTTTGTCTCAGGTGGTTTCCAGGATTTTCTCTTTTCATTGGCTTTGAGTGATTTTTAAAAAAATACTTTATGTATTTATTTGACAGAGAGAGAGATCACAAGTAGGCAGAGAGAGAGGGGGAAGCAGGCTCCCCGCTGAGCAGAGAGCCCAATGTGGTGCTTGAACCCAGGACCCTGGGATCATGACCCTAGCTGAAGGCAGAGGCTTAACCCACTGAGCCACCCAGGCGCCAGTTTTGAGTGATTTAAAGAGGGTGCAACCTTGGTGTAGTTCTTAATTATTTTTCTGCTAGAGTTGCCTGAGTTTTCTGGGTCTGTGGGTTGATCGTTCTCATCAAGTTGTGAGAATTTTCAACCATTATTTCTTCAGGGAATTTTCCTGTCCTTCCTCTTCTCCTTCGCTTTTGGAGACTTCAATCACACATATGTAGGCTACTCAAAGTTTCCCCTCAGCTCTTGGACATTCTCTTCATTTTGAAGAGTTTCTATTCCCATGTTTCCAAATTCACTAATAAAAGATTCTGCGAGGTCTCATCTACCATTAATCCTATGTGATATATTTTTTCATCTCTTGTATTGTAATTTCATCTCTACAGATTTGACTTGGGTCCTTTCTTGTATCTTCCATGGTGCTCCTGAACTTTTTGAGCATGTGGGATACAGTGACAATACTTGTTTTACTTCTTTTCTGCTAAATCTGTGTCAGTTCTTGGCCAGTTTCTGTTGACTGATTATTTCTCTCTTGGGTCTTATCTTTTCCCACTCCTCTGCATGCCTGGTCATTTTTTATTGAATTCCAGATACTTTGGACTTTCTCTTCCTGGCTTCTGGATATTTTTAGATTCCTAGATACATTTTCGAGCATGTTCTGGGATGCAGGGAAGAGAGTTTGATTCTTTTACATCTTCCACTTAAGATATATTCAGTGGGGGGGCGCTTGGGTGGCTCAGTGGGTTAAGCCTCTGTCTTCGGCTCAGGTCATGATCTCGGGGTCCTGGCATCGAATCCCGCATCAGGCTCTCTGCTGGGCAGAGTTGGCTTCCCTTCCTCTCTGCCTGCCTCTCTGCCTACTTGTGATCTCTCTGTCAAAAAAATAAATAAAATCTTAAAAAAAAAAAAAAAGGTATGTTCAGTGGGTCTGGAGCTGGGCCCAGTCATTCTCAGTGACTAGGGTCTAACCTTAGTACTTACCCCGCTCTCAAGGAATTATGTGTTTTCTCCAGTCTGGCTTCTGGGAACAGGCACTACTTCCTGCCCTGTGTGAGTACTTTATCCTCTAGTCTTTCTGAATGGTTCTTTCCGGGCCACTGTAGTTCCCTCACGCATATGTACCGATCAGCTATCTGGGGTTCTGGACAGCTCTCTCCTCTCTGGTCCTCCGTGCTTGGAGCTCTGGCTGCCTCAGTCTCCCCAGTCTCCCAGCCCTCTCCTCAGTCAGGGAGTCTAGTGGACTCTGCCTGGGCCTCCTCCCGATGCTGCATCACCATATTTGTTTCCCATCTTCCAAGAATCACTCTCCTCGGTCTTCTGATGTTCGGTTTCTTGAAAGCATTATTTTATGTATTTCTTCTGGATCTTTGGTTGTCTCGGATGCAAGGATAAATCTAGTCCCTGTTGCTCCATTGTGGTCAGCTGTGGAAGACAGACCTTGGCATGTGTGAAGAATCCCCTTGGCTGGATTTTTTCTTTGAGATTTTATTTATTTATCTGATGGAGAGATAGAGAGCATAAGTACGCAGAGTGGCAGGCAGAGGGAGAGGGAGAAGCAGGCTTCCCGCCGAGCAGGGAGCCTGATGGAGGGCTCGATCCCAGGACCCTGGGATCATGTCCTGAGCCGAAGGCAGATGCCTAACCCACTGAGCCACCCAGCTACCCCCTTGGCTGGAGTTTTTAAAGCAATCACTGCAATCCCATTATTGGCCAGTCAAGTGAAATGGGTTTTTACGTGAAGCCTTCTAAAACTTTGTTCTGCTCTTGGTCGATGACCATGGATCAAGAGCGTTCTGTAGTTTGTCCAACATTCATGGGTCATGAAGTTTAAGTCGGGCATGCCCTTGGGGGAAGTCAAGTCCAGAGCCCAGGTTCACAGTGCACCTCCCCAGGCAAGCCAAGGGGAAGCCCCGCGATTAACCTAGGATAATTGGTGACAGGTTACCTGGGACTCGGGGCCCTGGGAGGAACCTGGTGGCAGCCAGTGGGGGAGGCCAGGAGACTCCAGGCAGGAGGTGCAGTTTGGAACCCAGATCTCCCTCCCCCTTTGGAAGTTGGCTGACTCTGTATGTGACATTTGACTTCGGAACTTTCGATTCCTCACCCTGAGAATGAGGCAGCAAATGCCCACAAGAGTAGATCTTGGGTGGGAGCCCCCCCGATGTCTGGTGGGGACCAGAGGAGGTGAGCGAGTCCAATGGGAGGGCTTGGGGAGAGAGCCAGGGGAAACTCTGAGTCTGGGGCCTCTCTCGGGGCTTGGGTGCCCTGTGATGCCTGCTAGTGTGTGCCAGGTGGGCACTGGGCTCCTGCAGAATGTCTGGGCTGGACCCGGCTGTGGCAGGAGGCAAAGGAAGGCTGGGCCCAGGGCTGCGGCAGTGGGCTTATGAAGGAGGGAGGGTGTCCCACTAGGTCCTGGCACTGTGGTGGGTGGGATGAAGGCTGCAGTCAAGAAGAGCCCCACGGGGTCCCACCGTGGGCAGCACAGCCATGTGGCAGCACACAGGTGGGGAGACCGGGCGCAGAGCTGGTGGGAGGCTCCTTCCTTGCCTTCGTCTGGTCCTCAGCCCCAGCCCCAAAGCAGCTCCCCACCCTCCCGCTTCTCTTGTCATTCCAGCTGCTCAGCTGGGAAAGAAGGTGGCCGTGGTAGACTACGTGGAGCCTTCCCCCCGAGGTAGGTAGCCCCAGAACGGAGCCATCTGTCCTGGGGGAGCAGGAGGATGGGGTCCTGGTTCACCTATGGGGGCGGCAGCTGAACCCGGAATGCTTCGCCACCATTGCCCGGGATCTCTGGCCAGTGTCCTCCTTGGCAAGTCAGCTGCCCTTACTTTAAAGTCTTCTGATTTAAAGACCACTTTGACTATAGTCATGGAGACTAAATTCCCAGGGCAGGGTTCACCCGGAGCACGCTTGAGTTACAGTAGCTGAAAGGACTCTTACCTGGGTGGAGAGGAACAAGAGAGCCTTCCGGACCCCGAATGTGAATCTAAGCAGGGTCTTCCCAACCTGCCAGGTACCAGGTGGGGCCTCGGTGGCACGTGCGTGAATGTTGGCTGCATCCCTAAGAAGCTGATGCACCAGGCAGCGCTGCTAGGGGGCATGGTCCGAGATGCCCCCCACTACGGCTGGGCCCTCCAGCCGGTCCCGCATAACTGGTGAGGAGCCCTGCCCACTCCCCTCACTTCTGTGCTCCTGGGGTGGGGGAGGAGGGGGGAGAGGAGGTTTGCTGCCCCTTTAACCCTCACGGGAGTCAGCTACCAGACAGGAACACTCACCCAGGGGCGACCCCCTTCCCCACATTTCGAAAAGTTTGGAGACACTTTGGCTATCACTGCTGATCGGGGGCTGCTGTGTCTCCTGGGATGCTGGTAAAGGTCCTGTGGCACATAGGACACCCTCACAAAGGACAGTCCAGGCCCAGGGGCCACTAGTGCGCAGCGAGAAACTGATGGAGCTTCTGCAGGTGGCACTGGGTCTGCTCCAAGCTGCACACAGGCCCCTCAGTGGTGCTCAGATGACTGAGACTCAGGGCCACTGATGTGTCCTGATGAAGGGGCCCAAATGAGGCCCAAAGCCCCCGTTTTCCTTGAGGCCCAAGGCCCACAGCCCCAGACCCAGGACAGAGACAGTGGCTGTGGACATAGATGTTACGTTCTTCCACCTTTATTTTTATTTTTTTGTTTGAAGATTTTATTTATTAGAGAGAAAGCATGAGAGGGGAAAGGTCAGAGGGAGAAGCAGACTCCCCGATGAGCAGGGAGCCTGATGCGGGACTCGATCCCAGGACTCCAGGATCATAACCTGGGCCAAAGGCAGTCGCTTCTCCAGTATCCAGCTGAGCCACCCAGGCGCCCAACGTTTCTCCACCTTTAGAATCAGCTTGTTTCTTGGGATTTCTGCTAACTCGCTGTTTGCATCTCCTCATGTGTTGTGGGACTCAGCAGTTCGTGCTCCTTTGGCGGTTTCTGACCTGTCCTGTGTGTTCCTAGGACGACAATGGCCGAGGCCGTGCAGAACCATGTCAAGTCCCTGAACTGGGGGCACCGGGTCCAGCTGCAGGATAGGTACTGAGGCCTTGGCCAGCCCTCCCACCCTCTCTGGGGACCTTTCCTCCTTTTGTGCACTCTCTCACCAGAGGCCCGGCAGTGACAAGACAAGAAGTCCCTGCCCGTGGGGTGGGATGTATGCATACAGGGTGGATGGGGCCAGGGCCCTGGGGATGAAAGGCTGGCCTATAAGCTGGCACCAGCAGAGCCTGGAGTAGTGAGGGGGGTGAGGGGCGTGTTGGCGGGACAGCCGGAGCCTGGGTCTACACCAGGGAGGAGGCATGCTTGGGGCTGGCGCTGCGGAGTCCAGAGGCTGGAGAGTGGGGGCGCGGAGAGGGCCATCCTGGTGGCCGTTGCCTCCCTCGAGGCAGGTGGCCTTTCTTCTGGCAGGATCAACCACAGTGATGTGGAAAGAGCCCAGTGAGCCCCACGTTGCTGTTGCAAAGAGGATACCCAGCCAGCACACTCTGAACCCCACACCTCACCACGTCCAACGTGATCATTCTGGCCTGAAATGGCTGGGTCCCATCAACCCTCTGGGCTCCCCCAGCCCCGATGCCAATGGTTCCTTCCACCAAAGCGCCCTCCCCAAGGAGCTGCTGCCAGAAGGAGAGGTGCCCCAGGCTGCACTCAGCTCTGGCCAGGCTTGGCTCCCAGCCCTGTAGCTCTGCCCTTTGCTTGTACAGGTCATGGAGGGGACAGTTTGACCTCTGAGGTCTGGTGGCTTTCATCTGAGCACTATGTGCTGGGCTCCAAGGACCTCCAAGATTCCAAGGAGTCTTCCTGAGGCTATGCAATAGGCAGCCATTTTGTGCCCATGAAGCCCAGGACAGTTGAGCGGGGGATGTGGCCCACCTGCCCATCCTGGCCATCCCCTGCCACCTCAGGGAGCTAAGCTGCATCCTATCACTTTTCCTCTGTGTGGGGCTCAGTATTCCCTAGGGCATTTTGTTGGAAGCACAGGGTTCCGCTATGCTTCCTGCTGGCCCCAGGCAGCTCCCAGGCAAGTGCCAGGCAGGCCCAAGCCCACCTTCTGAGGTGCCCACAGAAGGAAGCCAGTGTGGAATTTACATCTGTGTCCTCTGGCTGTTACTGGGCCATGGGGGTGAGTGAGGGCTTGGTTCTTACAGCCCAGGCGGCAAATGGAGTCACAGGGCACAACTGTGGGGAGGACATACAGTCGAGGTGGTGAAGCCTTACCAAAGGCGCCAAGAACCCACCATATGGAGTGGCCTTCATTATTAGGAGGTGTGGATCGTTTCTGCACACCATGTACCTGACTAGCATTCTGTCCTCGTCATGCCTGTTTTCCAGCCTTACTATCCCCTAAAGGCAGGGGGTGGTGGGCACCATCCCTTGTCTGCCGGAAGTTGGTCATTTGGGTGTCGGGGGTCACTGGGAGGGAGGGCCTCTGCTCCCTGCTAGAATGTGTCCAGGTGACAAGGCTTGACTCTGGGGAGGCCCAGCCACGTCTGTCATCACACGCCGGGGCTGTACTTGGGCTCTTGGGGCCATCCTGAGCTGGCTTCTGTCCTGGCAGTTCCAAGGATCCATGGCCCTCCTCCCCCTGCACACTTCCCAGTGCTGTTCTCCACTCACCCCTTGCCCTGGCCTGGGCCGGGGACAGGGGGCTGTGGGCCCTGAGCTCGCTTTTTAGCCATCTGCTCCCTCTCTGGTCCCATCGGTGATGCCTAATATGCAGAGGATATATTTAACAGTCTTTTTTTTTTTATTTTGCAGAAAAGTCATGTACTTTAACATCAAGGCCAGCTTTGTCGACGCGCACACGATTTGCGGTGTCTCTAAAGGCGGGAAAGAGGTGAGGGCCCGGCTCTCCCGAGTGGCTCCACTCCGGTGGTGCTGACCCTTCCAAGCACTCCAACACTGTTCGACCTCAGTGCTGTCCTCAGTAATGAGCACTGCGGGAATTGACCACAGATCCCTCTGAGGCTGGTTATGATGCTTTATGGATGGTGAGACACGTCACCAAGAGGCACACAGTGCCCAGCTGCCCGCTGCGCCAGGGTGATCAGACCCTCGCGGAGTTTTGCAGGGGTTGGAGGTGATGAGATACCTGCAGGGTGCCATGTAAGCTGCAGGCTGCTTGGAGTTAGAATGTCTCCCTGCGCCCTCCTGCTGGGCTCCCTCCTGGCTCGAGGACGCTGGACAGGCTCCCAGCTCCGAGCGACCCCTGAGCTGCTGGCCCCAGGGTGCACACTGCAAGGCAGGGGCTGTCATTAGAAAGCATGCATCTCTGCTGGCAGCCTCTGCAGACCTGCCTGACCACAGCTTCCTCCGCTTATTCTCAGACTCTGCTTTCGGCTGAGCATATTGTCATCGCTACCGGAGGGCGGCCGAGGTACCCGACCCACGTGAGTGTCCCCAGCACACAGCCTTCCCTCGCACCCTGGGCACGTTCACGGTCTCCTGGCTCACACTTCCCACACCAGTGGCACCCCCTGCTCTTTCTTTTCTTAAAAAAAAAAATAATAATTTTTTTTTCTATATTCACTCTGGTCACCTTCTCATGCTCTCTCAACTCCGTTCTATGGACACAGCCCGGCAGGGACCCCCACAGCCCCCCACTCTTCACATGGCTCTGGGACACCCCTGCTTCTGGTCTCCTTTGTCTCTCTTTGTTGATTCTTCCTTTTCTCCTCAGCGTCAGGGTGTTGGAACATCCAGGACTCAAGCCTCTCCTTCCTGCCCCCACTCCACATCATGACATAAGATTCTCCCACCATAAAATGCACCCTTTGAAAGGGTACGATTCAGGGGCTTTTGGTTAATTCACAGAGTTGTGCAACCGTCAGTCACCACTACCTCATTCCAGAACATTTTCATGCCCCTGATGAAATCCTGTCCCGTGAGTGGTCACTGATGTTCGTGGCTCCCCAGCCCCTGGCAACCACTAGTCTGGTTTCTGTCTCTGTGTGGATTTGCCCATTCTGGGCACTTCACATAAATGAAATCAGACAACATGTGGCCTTTGTGCCTGGCTTTCTGCACTCAGCAGAAGGTTCATCCACGTGGTAGCCTGGGTCAGACCTTCATTCCTTTCTATGCCTGAATAACGAGCCATTGTGTGGCTGGACCATAATTTTGTTTGTCCACTTGTCCGTTGATGGACATCCGAGTTGTTTGCACTTTGAGCTGTTGTGAATAACGCTGCTGTGAACAAGTTTTTCCGTGGACTGAAGTTTGCACTTCTCTTGGCTCTAGACCTAGGAACAGAATTGACGGGTCATACAGTAACATAGTTTTTAACCTTTTGAAGAGCCGGCCGTCTGTTTTCCAAAGTGGCTGCACCATTTCTCGTACCCCCTTTCCCCCCAGTAACGTGTGAAGGTCATGCTTTCCTGGTTCTTTGCATTTCACAATTTTGTTGTTGTTTTCGAGCAATGAGTAGTTCAGATAAAGTAACGCAAGAATTCTGGACATCTGAATCTTTCTCCACTACAGGGTTTTGTTTATTGCCATTGTATGTCTGAAGAGATTTTGTAAAGTCTGTTCTTTGTCAAGGGATGCCACCGAGGTCTCTGCTCGTTGGCTTAGTGCTCAGTGAGTAACTAGATAGAGATTTCCTGAAACGCCAGGAGAAATGGCCCAGTCTTTGCTGAGGGATTCTGTAGGCATTTGAGGGCAAACTTTGGGCCATCAGCCAGGTGCCAGAAACTCTGCCTTAGCTCTCACTTCCTGCCTGTGCGAGGCCCCAAGGCCAGCCAAAAGTGAGAGCTTAGGTTGTCTCAGGCCTTTCCCAGGTGTGTGTGCAGCCCAGGGCCTACACCCAGCCTTCTAGGTCCCCAGGAGTGTGCAGGAGCTTTTCAAAGCCCCCGTGGACAGCTCACTCCTTGGCTTTTCCTTTTAAGCTCTGGGATGGTGCATTGCTTGTTTCTGCTGTCATCCATTGTCTTGGGCAGCTGTGACATCCGTCACGGGACAGATCCTGCTCGGAGAGAGGCTTCTGGCCATGGGCAAGGTCACGCGAGGTTGAAGACCAGCCTTTTGAGTTGGGGTCTCCTGGGGAAGCCCAGCCAGGTCGACCGATGACTGTTTCCTGGGAAGGAGCTCTGTCAGGGCTCCAGCCCGGCTCTGCTCGGCTCTCCCTAATATGTTTTTTAAGTTGCTCACCCTTGCTCAAGGTTGCTGCTGTGCTGAGGGATGGGTCTAGAGTCTGTCACAACACCACAAAACTCACCGTTCTTACCAAGTTTCAGCCATTTTTCTTAACTAAATATTCCCTGTGTTGCCGCAGCCTTTTGGTTCATTTCTGGAGTGCTCCACAAGTTGAATCTGACTGTTGTTGCTAGTTGTCTGGCTGTTTTTATGGAAGGGTGAACACTGGGAGGTCCTTGCACCACTGTTTTTTGCCCTCGTCCCCCTTACCGCCCCGGTCTTCTGTGAGGGCGCTGCTTTGCCCTCACTCCCACAAGGCAGGTGGAGCTAAGGAAGGGGCTATATGGTCAAGTTCATGCAGAGGGGGATGGGAAGCAGGAAGGGGCTTGGCCAAGGCCATATATCCTCGTGGGTCTCCCAGGGGCCCTGGGAAGCAGACAGCACAAGCCCTGAGCCTCCACACGGGCTGCAGCAAAGTGCACAAGGCACACAGACTCCCTGGGCCTAGAGGCCACTTCTGCCTCCAGATGGCAGAAGAACAAGGCACTGGTTCCATTTCTCCTCAGATGCCGAAATCCCAAGCCTCCCCTTTTGGTTCTGTGCTTTCTCTGGAAACAGGGAACAGAGGGGTCGTGGTGGAAAAGGCACACTCTGGTCCCCAGAGGAACACCATGCCTGCCTCCAGCTGTCGGGCCCGCAAGAGCGGCCTCTGGAGGGGATGGGTGGCTTGTGCACAGAGGTGGCCCTTGGCTGGCTTACATGGCTCTGTCGGGTGGTGGAGTGCTATTGTTCAAGGTAGCTGCTGACAGACAGAGGTGGGCAGCCATTAGCGACCCCTCACCCTTCAGCCAGGCTGGTTCCGCATAATGGCCCCGAAGGCCACAGTCTGCTCCTAGGAGCTGGGCGGTCATCTGGGCCCCAGCCAGCTGGACCTCGCCTAGGCAGCCGCCGCATCTCCCTGGGCCGGCAGGGGATAGAGCAGGAGCTGTCTGGCCCCGGGGGAGGAAGCTCAGTGGCTGCTCCGCTCTCCCACCGCCTACCCTACCACCTCCTCCCTGGGTGCCTGCCAAGGCTTGCTTGGGTTTTAGTCCCTTTGATTTCTAGACCTTTTGGTTTTCTTTCCACAAACCCGAGAAATTCCTGACTTTATTTTTATTGCCAATCGGAATCATAAACTGTTTGCATTCCGCTTCCTCTCCACCAGCACATCTTACTGTTCTTACTCTCATGGGCCACGGAGATCCTGGATCTGGTCCTTGGATCTCCCCCACCTGCTTAGTGGCCCCTCCTCAGGCTCTGCTGAGAATCAGGGGAGTCTGTACGATTCCTGGGCTCCCTCGAGGATGCCCAGGAGCATCAGTGCCCTTGGGGCCAGCCTGCCCCTCCACACCCTGTGTCACTCTGTTTCCCTGCTGCCCTCCCTGAGCCCAGCATCTGGATCAAGGGTAAGGCCCTGGAGAGCAGGGAGGAAAAAGCTGCGGGCCCTGCACCAGCTCCCAGCCACCTCGAACAGCCAAGGAGTGCTGGGTGCTTTGCCCAGAAAGTTCATGGTGCTCCTAGTCAGATAAACCCAGGTCACTGGTCCTTAGAGGCCACAACCTGACGGACAGTGTGTAGAGCAGGGAAGCACCCCCAGGGGTGGGTTGGGGTGGTTCTGCTTGAGTCGTGTCTATGAAATGGTCATCTTCTTTGAGGGGAAAGTCTCTGGGGACAGGCTGAGTGACGCTCTTCTCATGCTGACCGTTTTTTTTTTTTTTTCCTGGATAGATCGAAGGTGCCCTGGAATATGGAATTACAAGTGATGACCTCTTCTGGCTGAAGGAATCCCCTGGAAAAACGTAAGACCCCATGTGTGCCTTAATGGCGCTCCTTTTTTTTTTTTTTTTAATTTTTTTAAAAGATTTTATTTATTTACTTGACAGACACAGCAAGAGAGGTAACACAAGCAGGGGGAGTGGGAGAGGGAGAAGCAGGCTTTCCGCTGAGCAGGGAGCCCAATGCAGGGCTCGATCCCAGGACCCTGGGCAGATGCTTAACGGCTGAGCCACCCAGGTGTCCCTGATGATCCTCTTTTGTTCACGGTTTCCAAGCATCAGAGCCATTCAGAACCACACATTGGTCCTCTCTCCCTAGTGCATTCTTTCCTGTCTACAGACAGGGAGGATGGTGTTTGTGCCCCTTGGTGGGGCTGTTGCCTGTCTTGGAAGTGATGACCCGTGTATTACCAAATGGACCAGCCACTATCTCGGGCAGTGGTTTTCAAACAGGGTTTCCGGAGCCCCGGGCTTCCAGTGGGTCCGTCAGGGACATCACAGAAGAAGGATGTTCCAGGAGGAGAAAGTAAGGCCAGATCCTCTGGGAAATCCATTGGCCTTTCTGCAGGCCTTGATTAAACATCCCCTTTCCCCTGGCTTGAAACTTGGGCTTCTCTGAAAAGCAGCAAAGTCTCCAAAGTTCTCAGAAACTATAGCCCAGGAAATGAGATGTGCAGTGTGTGAGCAGTTTTATACTCCGTGAGTAGGTATTAATGCACTAAATGCATTTCCTGTCCCCACAGAGCAGGCCGTGGTGGGGTGGGGATTCCAGGTCCACACAGGCCCTGGGAGTGGCGGCTGGGGGACTCCGTGCTCTCAGGGACTGGAATGGCCACCAGAGGGCAGCAGAGGCTTTGTCGTCAGCAGACTCTCCGCTGCCTTGGGACTTGGCTTTGACAAAATACAGGTGGAAAAGTGTGCCAGGGAGGATGGCTGTGTGGGCAGAAGTGTACGTGTAGGGCAGTGTGTGTGAATGGGCATGCGTGTGCTCTCCTCCTCGATGTTTCCCACTTCCTGAGGCATCTCTGGCTGGGGTCAGGGCTTGATTCCCTTGAGTGGTTGTACTGTAGTTTATCTTCCCACCACTCACGAGTGTCTCACTAGGCTCTTTTTGTCGGCGTTATGAAATGCTGCAGTGAACACCTTTGGTGTGCATCTTATCTGCTGGCATAATGCTTCTTACGTGTTCTACATACCTGTCGGGGGGGGGGTGTCCTGTAAGCAGAGAACCCAGGTACAGGGCTTCCCACGTCCTGCTAGCAGGTGCTCCCTCCTTGTGGGCTGTCCAGCATTTCCAGGCACACCTCTGCCTGCTCCCCACTTCCCCCTAATGGGGCTGGGCCATCAGCTTTTTCATGAGCGGGGAAACAGTAAGGAGCCTCTCCTCCTGCTCTAGGGGCAGGGGTAAATAGCAGTTGTTTCTGCCCAAGGCATGCGTGGTGCCTCCAATGAGGTGGTCAAGCTCATGCTGGCTTGGATCCCTCTGTCTCATTCCACTGGCTCCCCAGGCTGTGCTTTCTCTTTTTACTTGGTGATATTATTTCATACAGAAGTTCGTAATTTTCATGCTGTGACACTGATCACTTTTTTCCTTGATGCTGAACTGTCTGGGTTATCTGTTCTTTTATCTTTAGCTCGCTAAGGGGTTAAATGTGACCTTGAGTCTGTTTGCCCTTGCTATTTTTAGTCGTCATTTCCTGTATTTACTAGCCTTTTAAAACTGAGTGTGTCGGTGAGCGTATGAGTGTGTGTGAGAGAGAGAGAGAAAGAGTGTGTGTGTGTGTGTGTGTGTGTGTGTGTGTGTGTTGTCAGCTTGGTCCGTGGCCTACTTTCTAACTAGTTTTTCTTTTTTCTTATCTGTTCCTTATCTTCCAGCTGTTTCGCGGGCTCGGGCTGTGATCTCAGGCCATTTTGACCACACATTTTCTTGGCTTGTCATGTCATTTCACTTGCGTGGTGTACAAATGGTTTATTTATTTATTTATTTATTTTTCCTCACCTACCTTAGATCTTTCTTTACACTTAATGGCTTTTAGATTTATTGCATGTTCAGGAAGGCCTGCTCCACCCCCAAGATAGCTTTCGAAAAAGAGCCCCTGTGTTTTCCTTTAGGGCTTCCATAGGTCGGATTTTCCTCTACATTCTTGGGGTGTTGGCAGTTCATGTTTGGTGTGGCGTGGATGGCATGGTGGTGTGGTATGGTATGGTGTGGCATGACATGTGTGGTATGGGGTGGCATGGCGGGGTGGCACCCGGGCTGCTAGGGTTCTGGTGTCACTGACCAACAGCCCCACAAGCCAGTGTGAAAGCTCCGTCCCTGAGTAGAGTCCAGTCCCACTCTGGCTTCTGACTCTGACTTTCCTGTACCACTGGCCCAAGTGCCTGGCAATGGCCTCAGATCTTCTCAGTTTTCTTTTGCACTGATTCCTGTGGGTGGAGTGTAGACCCGTTCTGCCAGCCTCTCCATAGTGGTCCTCCGGCTGTGGTTCAGACAGCTCCAGCTGCCACCGGAGCGTGTGTCCTGTCTGAGGCCCCCGTGCACTTCGGTCACCTCGGCCTGTAACCAAAGGCCAACATTTGCTGAATCCCGGTCTTCTGTCAAATTAGTTCCTATATCTTCTGTTGTTTCCTTTGTTTGCTATTTTCCCGTCTCCGTGTCCAGGAAGGGGTCAGTTTGCAGTGATCGCCTCTCAAGCCACTGCTCACAGGAGGCTGGGTGTGCAGAGAGGCTGGTCGGGGCCATCACTTGGGCTGGGGAGGTTGGGAGGCCCAGGCACACCTGGTGCCACTGGTGCTCCGCGCGGTGTCCTAGGGCCCGGTCCCTTCCTCCGCAACCTTACAGCCAGGGCAGCCAGGCGGGGAAGACACCACCCCAGATCTTTCGGCCGGGAGAGCAAGCACTGTGTTTATTTTCTTCAGAAAAAAAACATTTAGAAGATTTTTTTTTTTTTAAGAAAAAAAAAAGCTCTTTCGTTTAGAAGGAATCTAGGTATGTTATTGTTGAAGAAAAAAAAGAGTTTGCAATGTATCAGTCACCCGTTTCGTTCTGAGCATGATTTATGTGAGGAAATGGTTTTTTTTAAAAATTAAGCTGGAGATATATCCCTGTACGATGCTTCTGTGAAAATGTGGCTTTTGTCCGGTGCCGTTAATGCAAGTTGTAACAGTGTGATATGGGAGGCACTGTTTACATGCTGCATTCCTCTCCTGCAGTCAAAATAAGCCCGGAGGGTCTACAGTAGCATTTCTGTATTTTATCAGCTTGGGCTGGGGCTGAGGGGGAGGCCTCCACTCACACTTGGAGGGGCTGTTTCTGCCAGATTTATTTGCCTTATAAATATTCCCTGTGTTTATTTTAACTCGCCTTTAAAATGGAGCTGAAATTAATATGGACCTGAGGGCTGGCCCCCCGGCCCTGTCGTGCCTCCTGTAGCGGGTGGGGCATCTCCGCTGGGTCCCGTCGGGAGGCGCGGCTGGTGGTGGAGGGCACCCAGCGAGTGTGGTCCCCACCAGCCAGCTCCCTACGACCCCATCAGAGGTTCCCGAGGGGCATGGCTGGCCCCGCATCCCTTGTGAGCTCTGCAGCATGCACATGGGCTTTCCTCCCTCCATCCCTTCCCATGATGGGGCATGGGCAGCATCGAGACCTTTTGGGGTGCATTCAAGTGGGGCACAGGGGCCAGTAGCCCTCGGTGGGGCCCACAGCCCTTCAGCCTCCTGTGGTTGTTCCACATCTTTGTCCCCTCGAGGCACGGACCCCAGTGGCCACAGAGGTGTTGAGCCTTCCAGACATGTGAGGAGCCCCTCCCCACTGTCTTGCTTTGCTTGAATCCAGGCCTGGGGAGCCCAGGGCTAGAGAGATGGCAGGGAGGGAATGATGAAGCCCAAGCCTGGCTGTTGGGAAGAATGAAAGTCTTCACGACATGGCTGGGTGCCCGGCTTGGCACCCCGAGGTGACAGATCATGTATGGAAACCTTCACTGTATGCAGCATGAGCTCCCAAGTCTGTGAGCAGGGCCCTCGGAGGCCAAGCTGGGGCTGGGGGGGAGCCCTGGTGCCCCAGACCCTTGGAGCCACACCCTCGGCCCGAGATGGGACCACAAGATTGGCATCTACTCAGCCTCAGCCACCTGAATGCCAGCTTTGTGGCTGGCACAGGTTGAAGAAGTAAGGAAGATTCTGGGGGAAGAACAGGGTCCCCTGGGCAGGTAGCAGGAGCCCCTTCAGAAGTAAAGATCAGGGGAATAATGGTCACTTCCAGAAATTATCAACCACCAGGGGAGGAAGTGGGGGTGCAAAGGGAGTGTGCTGCCCTTCATGGGGAGGCTTAGAGACGGCATCTGCGTGTCCCAGATGTCCAGCCCAGCGACTCCCTGGCAGGTAGAGGGAGGGTGGAAGGGAGAAAGGTAGGCCAGCTCCCCACAGTGCCTTCAAGGAGGCAGGCCAGAGGATTTCGGCTCCACCTTTGATCCCATGGCCTGGTGATCTTGGCTCACTCAGCTGGAGGACCACCTCTTCCACGCCTCTGGGCCTGGGCATCCTGGCTGGGACCTGAGCCTGGCCTCCCAACCTTCCCTGGGCCAGGATCCTCAGGTCTCCACCGCCTGTAACTGTTTAGGTGCCCTAAGGGTGGGGAACCGGGGTCACTCTGCTCCACGCCCCCTTGGCTCCCCAGCCTAGCCGGTCAGCAAGCCCGCCTGGGGTTCACTCCAGGTCTGCAGGCTAGCTCTTTGCACAGCTGGGCTCTGAGCTGGCAGCTTGGGGGTGACCCCAGTGCCATCACCTTTCTCTGACGGCAGAGGACTTGAATGAGACTGGAGCTACCTGGGGCAGCTCTTCCCCCACGTTGGCCTGATACACTCACTACTCTTCCCAGTTGCCAGGAGTGTCCTGCCTTCCACAGCTGCTCTGTCCTTACGGCCCAGAGCTCTGTGCAGAAGGGTGTTTCTTTAACTCAGGCTGATTTTATACTGCCTGTCAGACGTGGTCCTAGAAAGAGCATTTTTTTTTTTTTTGGACCCTTATTTCAAGTCTGGAAGCTGATTAGGTATTATGATCATTCTTCTCTTTCCCTGAGCACAAAAGGGAAGGATAGAAATTTTATCCTGCAAAGAACCACAGACGTTGTGTTAGAAAAACTCCTTGCTGTGAATTTTCTCATTTCCCGCTTAATACCCATGTTCGTTTGGTGTGACACCTTGTGTCCAGCAAAAGGGAGATGGGCTCTCTGCCGGCAACTTGGCTACCAGCCCGTAAAGATCTCTCCCTGGTGTGTGGAGGGCTGCCGGGAGGAACACAACAAGGAAAACAACAACTCGGGGTGGCATTGTTATGAGGCCAGAACAGAGAGGCTCTGGCTGGGCGCAGGTGGGCCCAGTGTCAGACCCTGATAGGTGGGATGGGGCCGGCAGATCCCAGGCAAGCCTGGAGCTAGCCCCCACTGGGAAGGAGGCCTTGCTCCGCGCCCGTGGCCTTCCCGGGGCACCTGCGCTCGGTAGCCCACCTGGCATTTCCTGCACTGGTGGGGCTGCCAAGGAGCCAGGTGCCTGCTGTGAGGCCCTCACTTTGTGTGGGTGTTCTCCTTTGGGGAGCGGATCAGGGGCCTTCAGACTCGAGAGGCAGGTGGAGGGCTCTTTAAGCTGGGGCTTCGAGGGTCTGAATTAAGGCTTTTGTTTCTGCTTCCTCCCCCATTCAGATTTTGAACAAGAAAGGCTGCCCTGTGATTAGGCTAATCCCATGGTTGTTACAGCTTCGCATGAAATGTTTGCACACCGAAGGGCACAGACAGCAGGGTTGCCCAGAACACATGTACGATCGCATCAGGGGCTCCCAGGATGGAGGGTGGTGACTGCCCACATGGGCCAGTGCCCTTAAGTCCGGGTCTCTTAACGTAGTGACAAGGTGAGGGTTTCCATCCTGCGGAGGCTCACTCGGGCCCTTCCACCCCGAATCTGACAAGCAGGTCCTGACTTCTGCTGCTGCCAGCACCCCTGTCCTGTGGTGGGCCAAGGCCAGCACTGGTCCCTGCACCTTGGCAACTGGCCTTGGCCCCGTTGTTCCCAGGCCCCCTTCCTGGCCAGGAATCCCCTCAGCCGCCAGAGGACTTTCTGTGCAGTTTCAAGGCTACAAAAACAAAACAAAACAAAACAAAACAAAAAAACCAGAGTCCCTCTTCTGGCCCTTGTGATCTAGAGACTCCAGAGTCTGTCTGTCTTTGCTCTGGCGTTTTCCTACTTCAACTCATTTGAAGGGAGTTTTCTGAGTTCTTGGAGCCTATGTTCTGCAAAGAATAATGACCATTTGACAAATTGGGGGTGGGGTGGAGTGAAAACCAGTATTGTTGATAATCCTTGCTCACGACAAGAAGAGACTTCAGATTACCTTCCAGAAGGCAGGACGCGTATTTGTTTATGAGATTTGAGCTCTACACATGCAGTCAAGGCACCCACTTTGGAGTGGCTGAGCTGGCTGGCACCAGCCTCCTCCCAGATGTGCCCTCTGTTGGCAGCTCAGAGCTGGTGGCCTGAGAAGGGTGGGTCCCCATGACTGGGAGGTGAGAGTGGGAGGCCCAGAATGCTGAGGTGGCTCCGGGATAGGGGGACCTGGGGGTTCCGCATCTGCATGGCCGCCTGCCTACCTCCCTGTCCGGCTTCCCAACCACACAGGGCAAGAAGTGGCGAGGGACCAGGGGGCAGCAGAAACAAAGCAGTCATGCCAAAATCCGGAGACTGCCCTCCCACATCCTTAGCAATGTGACACAAGGGTCTGGAGATGTCCTGCAGGCAATAGCTGACAGCTGGCTAGCTCCTGCTGGAGGGCCCACGTCCCAGAGGCCAGAAGTCTCCAAGACAGGCCAGGACAGCCCTGTTGTCCAACAGAGGGGCTCCCACATCACACAACAGTGTGATGTGGCTGTGGCTTTCACATCTTAGAGGAAAGCTTGTGCTTCTCACCGCATACATCGAGCACAAAAGAAGTTAGATTGTGTCATTTTGAAAACGTCCCTCCACAGAGACTTACCTGTTACACACCTGTGTGTGTTGCCACATCCACATGTGGATCCGCGTGAATGCCACCGTGTCTGTTTCTTAGACATTGCCAGGCCCGTATGGGACCCTGAATGCATCTCCGTGCTCCTGCCAGCCGCGTGGCCTAGTGTTCTTCTCAACTTTCTCATGCGGTGAGCTCTGTTCACTCGCCCCGAGCATGACTCCAGCCCAGTTCTGTCCCCGGCCCCCGAGAGGAAGCCGTGTGCCAGTTGCCTTCCGCGGGGCACCTGCGGCAGTATTCCACGGGATAGACTGCTTTTTGAAATGGAATTATATCATTAGTACCTGCCGGGATTAGTGCTGACATTGGGCTTATCCGTCCTTACATCACCTCCTCTTGTTCAAAGGCTGAAGGGGTGATCTGACAAGCCCACCCACATGTTGCCACCCGGGCTGGGAATTTTCGGTCTATGTTAGGCTGTGCGCATGTGTGTGTGTGTTTGTGCTGGTGTGCATGTGTGTTCACATATGCAGAGTGGAGCTGAATCACAAGAGAGGGCTTATGCTACTAGGGTAGATATTTTAAATGACTCTTCTGGGTCCCAGTGTCCTATGTCTCCCGCTGCCCCCCAGGTGTCCTCATCTTTGCTCCAAGGAACTGGCCCTCCTGGCCCCGGCCCGTGTGAGGTGGGGCTGGACAGCCTGGCCTTCCAGGGTCCGAGGATGTTCTGACTAGCCACTGCTTTCCCAGAATCCTCCCTGCTGTCTGGTGCCCTCCCCGTCCTACAGAGCATATCTGCCACCGAAGATCCGGAGGGAACCCCATGCCAAGAGTTTACACTAGGACAGAAGGAAAACCATTCCCCTTATTCCACTGGGCTTTTCCTCCACACACCCGTGGACTCCACATCAGTGGCACTCCTGGGATCTCTCGCAGGACATGGGCTCTTCTCTCACTGACCACTCACATCCTTCACCACCTGGCAATTTTCTGATTCAGTGACACTGTGTTTGTCATTTATCTCACAGTCAGAGCCTCTGGGAAGTGGGTTTTGTACCTTGGGACAACCTGTTTGAACAGTGAGCCTTGGCTGATTCATCAACAGTGACACATCAGCTGACCAGGCACCTTGCAGGGAAGCTCAAGGGCCCTGTTCCCCTGACAGAGGCCCCATTCAGGACAGCTGCATGGGGGCCATGGTGAGCCACGTATGGTACTCACCATTCTTTCCCTCTGTGTCCTTTCCTCTAACAGGTTGGTGGTCGGGGCCAGCTGTATCCTTTGCCGGCGTACAGGTGACAGCCGGCTGTGCTCACAGGCCTGAGAGGGGACACCCGGTTCCTACAGCCCCTCCCCCATGGCCCTCCCTTCCAGCAGGGAGGACCGTCTGCCGCCTGGAGTCTGGCGTTTCCAGGGCCACTCAGGGCAGATGACCTGTACCCAGGGGACAATTTGAGGCTGACCTTTGAGGCTAGGGCTTCCTGGAGGCATTTCCTGAGCCGCACACTGAGATGCCTGGAGCCCTTCAGGGCAGCTGGACACAGCCGTGAGGCAGGTGGTGCTCCCTGGAGAGCAGTCCCATCCGGGCCTGTTCCTTCAGAAGGAGCGGTAACACCAGAGAGGCTCAAGGGAGGAGCCATGGGAGGATCTGAGGTCAGGAGAGGGGATAGCTGAGGGAAGGGGAAAGCTGGGACTGCTAGCTGGGAGCCAGGTTCGAAGGTAGCTCTTCTATTTCTTTCATGAAGGACACTCTTCCCTTCTGTTGCTACTCGGACCCCTTGGGGGTCCTGGCACCAAAGGCTGATATTGAATTGCAAGGAGCCTGGACAGATGCCCCATGGAGGCAGAAGCCACCTGGCCCTGGGTGCTGGAGGGTGCCCCTGTGCCGTGGCTCTCAGAGTCCCCTCCTCACTTTGGACATGTGTTTCTGAGGTCGGGGTGTGGGAGGGGGTCTTTGTGGCTTGTGTTGGGAGCCTCTTCCAGGCTGACTGGAGATTGTGGGGGAGCGGGTGGCTGGCCAGAGCACTGGGGGTGTCTGGCCACAGCTGCTGCTTTCCCAGAATCCTTCCTGCTGCCTGGTGCCCTCCCGGTCCCTTGGCTCCTGATGTCACGATCCATTAGCCTTCCTTAGCCTCTGGCAGACGTGGCCCTGGAGTGTGCTGGCTTCCTCACCGGTCTCGGATTGGACACGACCGTCATGATAAGAAGCATCCCTCTCCGGGGCTTTGACCAGGTATGGCCGTGGGTGCCCCAGCTCCCACCCTGTGCTCTCTCCCAGGCGGGTGCAGGTGTGGTCTGGGAGTGAGGTCTCAGTCTTTCAAAACTGGCCCTTGTGTTGAGTGAGGAGATTGTTCCTGAAACAGAAAACACCTGCCAGAGTGTGGGAGGAGGGGCTGGCCCATGGAATGTATGGCAACATCCCCCCAGATCAAAGGGACATTGGTGGGCACGGCAGGCCAGCCTCATGGACCACAAGGTTGGGTCAACCCTTCTAGTCCCTCCATTAGAAAGCAGAAAGAATGTGGTGGCTAGTCTGCTGTCCCCCATCTCCCCTGCTGAGCTCCTCTGGTGTCTGAGCAGGGTGCCACCTCCGTGGGGACAGCACCGGGTCGGGAAGCAGGTGCCAGACTGGTAAGGCCATGGGAGCCTTAGGAGGTGACAGAAAAGAGGGAATGTATGAGTAAGGACGAGCACTTGGTGGCTGTCCTGGCCGGCAGCCCACCCTGAGTGCTCAGAGTGTCCCACACAGCCTCTGAAGCCCCGCCAGTTCCACGTCCTGTCCACTGCATGGGGCCAGCTCCTCTCACGGCCTGCCTGTCAGTTGGCCACTCCTGAGAGCCACATGGCAGGAGCTCAGAGGGCCACCCTGTGGGGTCTGAAGAGTACAGGTTGTCCTGACCCGCATTAGGGCCATAGACGCCCCTGATGATGGCAGAGGCAGGGGCACGTGGTTTGCTGTTTGTTTGTTTGTTTAACTAAAATTCTTCAAGAAAAAGTCACCTGTTAAAACCCAAGTCTAGGGCTTTCACTGTCAAGAGGTCAAAATTTCCTTTCACGTGCCTGAGAAGGAAGACAGACCCCTGTCCGTCTGTGCTGTCTGGCCTCATGAGCTCTTGCAGGGGTGGGGAAGCAGTGGGCCTGCCGTGTCCAGCGCCCAGCCCCAGCCCACCCGGTGGATGCTGTATATGCTGTGTGGGGCCGTACTTGCTTGCTTTCTTGCTTTCTTTCTGAGATTTTATGTCAGAGAGAAAGAGAAAGAGCAAATGAGTAGGGAGAATGTATGGCAGAGGGAAAAGGAGGCTCTCCCCTGAGTGAGGAGCCTGATGCGAGATTTGATCTCAAGACTTTGGGATCATGACCTGAGCTAAAGGCAGACCCTTAACCGACTGAGCTAGCCAGGCCAGGCGGCAACATCTGGGAAAGTCTCGGTGCCTCGGGCCATGGGTGGAGACGGCCAGTCGCAAACCAGACAGGAACCACATGAGGCCACGCTGTAGGACACTGAGAAGGACAAGGCCTGTGAAGTAGGGGGGCCTGTAGGGACAGGGACCACTCAGAAGACTGGCCTTCCAGCCCAGGCAGAAGTTGGAGACCGACAAGAGGGGATGCCCTGGGACATGGGGGCACAGTGGGGAGGCCAGGTGACCCAGGCCCTGCCTAAGAAGGATGTGCAGCCCTGGTGGCAGGCACATGGTCTGGCCACGTGGCTCAGTTGGGCCCAGTAATTCCCCCACGGACTGTGACAGAGACTCCAGGCTCATCAGGAGTCCAGAGGGAGGAGCCGCCTACACTTGTGTTCCTGTGACTCATGTGACAGTCCTGAACAGGCAGGGCTCCTCATGGTGTATGTCTTTATATGAGCGGGTACCAGGAAGCTGTGTCTGACTGGGGCTCTGGTCAGCGCAAGCCCTGCCACCCCCCCCACAGCGGCCCCAGGAGCTGAGCCCCCATCTGCAGCCAGGGGGTACAGAGCCTCCAAGGCTGGGAGGAGGGAGCCCTCTCTGCAGATGCCAGGGTCCACCTCCACCCACCCCCACCATGCCTGCTACCTTGTATATCTTGGTGGGGAGCAGAGGGGCCCACCTACTATCCCAACTCCCCAGAGGCAGAGGAGGTGACAGCATTTGGCAATGGTGGCAGGAATGGAGCCAAGTATCATCTCATTCAGCCAGGCCAGAGCCCCCAGGGGCAAAGGGTGCTTCTCTGTCACTGTTTTCAGTGAAGACTTAGTTAATCGGCATGTAGAGAAGACCCTGAAGGTCAAGTGCATCCTAATCCAAGGGCCCCAGGTTCTCGGATTTGGAGCTGGCATCAGGTGCTCTCCCAGCTCAGCCCTCACTTCCACAGAGGACAAGGGGACCCAGAAGTAGGGGTGGACAGAGGCCACCTAGCAGCCGGGGGGCCTTGGACCTTCCCCCTTGAATGGACCTTTCTTGGGCTCCTCTAGGGCTTTTTTTAAGCAGGCAGGAGACCATGTCCTTTCCTCCCACAGTCATTAGGAGTGGACGTTCTCACTGCCACCCGGCCCTCACAGCACATCTCTTATGCTTTGCAGCAAATGTCTTCCTTGGTCACGGAGTACATGGCATCTCAAGGCACCCGGTTCCTGAGAGGCTGTACCCCCTCCAGAGTACGGAGGCTCCCAGATGGCCAGCTCCAGGTTACCTGGGAGGACCTCAGCTCTGGCAAGGAGGACATGGGCACTTTCAACACCGTTCTGTGGGCCATAGGTAAGGGTGCGCCGAGCCACAGGTGAGCCACATGGAGACCAGCAGCATCGCCTCCCCCTTCCTGCTGTCTCCAGGGCTCCCCTCGTCCTGCTGGCTTTTGGGTGGGTCAGCTGTCACAGCACACCTCTTAGGCCATCGGAACAGCCCGTGGAGGTGTTTCCCTCACCTCCAGTGGGTGGGTTTGAGCTCTGCAGGAGTAAATGCCTCACTGGCTTTTGTGGAAACCACACTTTGCAGATCTCCCAAGATGGCGTCAGTGATGGGGCCGAGGCCTTGGGCCTTCCTCTGCTGCACATGGCTTGGAAGCCAGCTCACCCACACGTGGTTGTGTTCTCATCCTCCCATTCTCTGAGAGGTGTGGGTCTAGCTTTCTGTGGGGAGAGAGGGGCGAAAGTTGAGCAAGCATGGCTGGACAGAATTAGCCTGTTGCTGACATTGCTGGACGTACTCCCTCCCGGGCTGGCTCCTCCCTGCACCGCAAGGGAGCAGGATGGAGAGTGGGGATGGAGTAGGGAGACACCTGCCCAGGGCCTGGGCCTCAGCTGGTCTGAGGGAAGGGACATGGGCTCTGAGGAAAGGCGCCCTGGCCAGGAGCCAGGCGGGAAAAGCAGAGAGCTCAGAGTGTCCATCATGAGCCTGCCTGTGGCTGTGAGTGGGGTCTGGCCCTGTGCGCTATTTCCAGTTCGCCAGGGTCTCTCTGCACTGAGCCTGGTCCATTGTCCCTCCTCCGTGAGCCCGGGCTCGGAACTGTGTAGCTGTCAGAATCCTCAGCCACCCCCACATCGGTTTATCAAATGTTTACTGAGTGCTCAGAGGGGCCTTCATGTCAGTGTCTGTCAGGACCTAGTTGGCCTGGTCCCGGCATCCCCTGCGGGGAGGCTCCCGGGAGGAGCCGGGCTGCGTCATAGAGCAGTGTGCTTCTGAGAAGCTTCTCTGATTTTTCTGAGTCCTCAGAATGCTGGGAAATCAGACCATGAGATAAACTCTGAGGAAGTTGGAGTCCTTCACTTGTGTGTGGTCAACACAGGCAGATTTAAGAAGCAAGGAAAACTCCTTGCAGTTCATTTAGTGCCTCTTGCCCAAAACTTAGTAAATGGCCACAGGAAATACTCTTGTTCGGTTCATAAAAGTAAATTGAAGTGGGTTTATTTTGGTAAATACCGTGAAAGATTCTATAACTTTTCAGGTCCAGAAGTGTAAGTTGACATTTATCTTGAAGTCCATTCTAAAAGGTGCAGTGGCAAGTCTCTCCCTTCCCGTCTGCACCCCCAGCCTCTTCCTTTGTCCCCTGATAACACCTTGGGGACCCCAAACACCCACATCCCTTCTCTTGCCGTTGGACAGAGGCAAAGGCCTATGCCAATATGCCATCCGCTAAGCCTACGCTAAGGGCAGCAGCTCAGAGGGCAAGGGGCTGTGCCCTGGGGAAGCCTCGAGGTCCTCCCAGCTTCCAGACAGGTCCCTGGTGGGCGACACAAGGGGCCCCTGGTGCACATGCCTGTCCTCCCCTCTGCAGGAGTCCGTTTTATTTTCTGTATTTTCAAAAAGAGCATCCCCCAGACAGTCTGCCCAACGTGATTGATGCTGGGGGTGGAAGCTTTTCACAGTCCTTGGCCTTTGACCTTGCTTCCCGAGGCGGCGCTGCGGTGGCGGCGGCGGTTTCTGGCACGCCTCCTGGGGCTGTACGGGCATGTGCTGACTTTGCTGCTAGCTCCCGGGCCAGGTTTTGTAAACAATCGGGAGCCACTTCCCAGTTTAACAACTGGGAATGTTTTCTGCCGGTTTACCCTGATAAGCCTTTAGCCAAGCATCGTTTCTGCTTGCAATGAAGGACGATCAGTGGGCCAGGAGGTTAAAATAAAGCTCCCCTGGGGGCCGAAGGGCTGGCCCAGCAAATAGCTCTGGGACCGTGGGTCCTGCTCCAGTAGCGAGTGCTGCGTGCACACCAGCGGGACTTTGACGTGTGTAAAAAACAGGAGGGAAGGATGGCCCTCGTGTCCGGAGGACACATAGCAAGGGCCACGAGGAGCTTCCGTGGGGCCGAGCTTGTGCTTGGCACCTGGGTCACGGCTGGTGAGGACAGTCTGCGCAGGGATGGCGAGGAGGGCCCGGCAGTCTGCAAGCCTGGGAGGACTCCTGAGCCTCTTCCTCTGCCCAGCCTTGATCTCCACGTGGTGGATTAAACACATTAGCAGTTAAAGCAGTTAATTGCTGTGCAGGGGGCCGGCTCATTGTTTGTCTCTGAATCACCCACCCACACCAGGTGTCTCAGATAATAGACTGGGAACTCGCAGCGAGGAGGATTTCCTGTCTGCAGATGTGCCGATTACGGTGCTGAGTGAAGACAGTCAGCCTGCAGCCGCCGCAGGCTCGAATTCACCCTGTGCAGTTAACCAGTTGTGGCCTGAATCCTCAGCCATTGGGGGGCGGCCATGGGTGGGGGGAGCAGGGGCAGGATGGGGCAGGACAGGGACACCGACGGGACACTTGCGCATGGAATCGCTTCCCAGCTGGAGCTCCACTGAGGTTCAGCTTCGACTTTGTTTCCGAGGCTGGACGGAGGGCCGTTGGAGCAAAGCCCTGGGAAAGCCGGCCGCTCAAACTCTCCTGTGCCCCCCAGCATCTCTAGCCTCCTGGAAGGTTTACTGGCCCCCTCTCAGGGCAAGGGTGGACGCTCTTGGTGCTTCCCTCCCTGGGCTATGAGAGTCCTGCCCACGGTCAGAACGCCCAGACGGCTGGTGTCCCCACCGCCCGGAGTGCCAGGAAGGGCCGGCCTGGCCATGCCTCAGCAGCCCCCCTTGGTCTATTAGGAATCAGCCACTTCCTCTTCCTCAGACTTTGTCTTAGCAGGGAAATTGGTATCGCCCACCTGGGTGTGAAACCCACAGATAACTTCCAAGCTTCTAAAATGGCATAACGAGAGCCAGCAGGTGCTGGAGGCCCGGCTTTCTAGTTTCTTGGTTTTGTTTTTGTTTTTGTTTTAAATCTTATTAATGTATTTGGGAAAGAGAGCATGGGGGTGGTGGTGGTAGAAAGAGCAGAGGGAGAAGGACAAGCAGACTCTGTGCTGAGCACAGAGCCCAACGGGGGGCTTGATCCCATGACCCTGAGATCATGACCTGAGCTGAAGACCTGGATGGTCCACTGACTAAGCCACCTAGGTGCCCCCCTACTCCGGCTCTCCAGCTTTAATCCAACCACCATATTGGGGACCCCCCTCCCTGTAGAGCCCACTTACACAAAGTGTACCCATGGACCACAGCCGAGGAGGTGGTGGCACCTGTGGAGACAGCAATGGGACCTGCGGTACCCAAGGAGTGGAGTGCGACTGCCCAGGGTGGGCTGCAGACTTGGGCTCCCCTCTCTACCACGGGGACTGCTGGCTTTGGTTTCCAGGGGGCCGCCTTGCTCAGCTACATTCAGCTGATGGCTCCTTCATCCCACAGACACCCCCTTCGAGTCCTTGTGGACCGTCTCCCCACCCCCCACCCCTGAGTGCTGGGCAGCAGCGCTAGGAGCTGGAGGCAAAACAGAAGTGAGCCCCCGAGGCTGGGAATTCATGGGTGTGTGTGTGTATGGGGGTTCTCTTGAGTCCAGCAAGAAGGATGAAGCAGTCCAGGCCCCTGTGCCCCCTGATAGCCATGAGAGAAGCCCAGGCTGGCGTGGGGCTGCTGGAGAGGGACTAGCAGGTGGAGCGTGGGTGCAACCTTGTTGAGAGAAGCCCAGTCCAAGGCCCCTGGGCCTGTTCTTTGGGGCCGTGTCATGCTGTGGCTGTAGGAAACTGCACGCGGTTGTGTTCCTCCCGGGGGGGACCTCGGAGCAACCTAACAGGTTGTGACAGGTTCCCACATGTGGACTCCCCGGGTCACCTAAGGCCCACCTTTCTCAGCTCCCCAGGCCTGAAAGGGGAGCACTGCTCCGCTCGTGAGCCTCTCATATTCTAACACCTTTTTATTTCAGTTTAAACGTCAAGTTTGTAAATAGCCACGTGAAGAGAGACTCCAGTCTCTGTGTGTATGTGGTGTGTTTCCTTGGAGGGAAAGGAGATGTTCAGGGAGTTCTTCCTGTCGGCCCCTCCCACAGACCAAGGGAAGCGGCTGAGCCTGAGACCATGGCCTTCCCCTGCCACACCATGTGGCCCTGGGTGATGGACCCCAGCTCATGAGCCAACACCGTCGACTCTGGCTGTCATTCATCTCTGCTGTGGCTCACTGTGGCATCAACCCATTGCAGAGGCAGGGCAGTGGGAAAACAGCCTCCGTGCTTGCAGACTGGCCCTCTGCCCTCTGGGAAGTCCTGCACCAGTGCAGGCCGGGAGCTGTCTCCTGCCCGTGTCCAGGGTCACCTTGACCCCCACAGCCGTCAGACCCAGGCCAGCCTACCTTCGCACTTATGGTCTTTTTACCAAATCAGATTCAATATTTATGATTAGAACTTAGTGGAAGCAAGTTGTTTTTTAAAAAAAGAAAAAAGTCTTACTGAAAATGGTTATAAAGATAAATAGGCATCTTTTTTGTTTTGTTTTGTTTTTGCATTAATGTGCACTATCTAAATTTTGCAAGTGCTACTGGGAGCCATCAACCAGCAGGAAGGTTATATTGATATTTGTAATTGTTACAGCAATAATTACCACCTACCAGGGAATGTGTCCCTTCCTGAGGGTTCCCGTGGACCAAACTGCTGCTGGGTCTGGGTTGGAGGCTGCACCACGTTCCAGGGCTGGCTGTAGGGGTTTACGAGCCCATGTGAGCTTATTTTATGTGTTGTCAGTGCTGCACACAGGCTTGAATGGGAAAGGCCCATGTTGTGTTTCATGGGGAGGGGACAGTGGTGAGAGGTGTCCTCAGGATGGCCTGGGGGGCAGTGGCAGGTGCTGGTGGTCACAGTAAGCCTCCAGTCTCAGGTCACACTAAGGTGCTCGGGTCATGGTAAGGCTCACTTATTCATTCAGCAAACATTGAGCCCTATCTGGACCCCAGGGCAGCAGGTTGGGTCCTCTG